TGCACTGTACAGAACACAAATGATGATTTGCTTATATGTCTGATGATCCACTGGCAATCAGTTTGCACTTGAATATTGAAACCTTGTAGTGGTTTGGAAACAATTTGATGATAAGTGGAGAAACTTTAAGAACATGTTGAGCTTAGTCAGAAGTAATCAGAATTTCATGTAATCACTGCACAAACATCAAAACTGTTGTTCTCATGATCATGACAGATTTGAATAACTGCAGAAATAAACATATAATTCTTCAAACATACATATGCTTATTGTCATAGAAGAAAACATTTGTAACATAATTGTATAATTATTTACTGATTAGTGTACTGTTAAAGAATTTATACACACATACATAGACATATACATATACATGTAGATAGATGGATAGATAGATAGATAGATTGATTGATAGATAGATAGAGAATCAGAAAAACAAAATACATCAATATGTCTAGGACTTGGGATTTCATTGGTGTGGGAACTCCCATTACTAATACAGATGATAGCTCATTTATTACTGTAGTCTTTGGGAATTGCCTGAGGCTAACAAAATAACAAAATGTAGTCAGAAAAGATATTAAAAAGGAACACAATGCAAGTCTTAGGATCATAGATTAATGATCTTCCAGTCAAGCCCTTTCATTTTATAGATGAAGAAATTGAATATTAAAGTGGTTAAGTGACTTGCCCAAAGTTACACAAGTAGTAAGTGGAAGAGTAAAGATGTGAACCCAGGTCACATGACTCCAAATCCAGAACCTCTTCACTGTTCCATGTTGATTCAGCCAATATCATTGCTATTTCTAAAAGTTTGCATATCATTTTCCTTTTATTAAAATATAAATAGTTCAAAGTTTATGGCTTGGTGGATTATTTTATTTCTTACTTTTTTCTTTATTTGATTTTTTATTTTTGTTTATGGTTATTAATTTTGTGACAAATATTATTATTAAAAACAAACAGTGAGTTGCACAAGTTGCCAGACTTCTTCAGAAATGTGACCATGTGAGACTAATTCTAGCTTTTCTCTTGGTAGGATGTGAAGGCAATGGGTGACTTTTGCCACCTTATAGTTTCACTGGAAAAGTTCTGGGGTTTTCACATTATTTAGATTTTCCACTGGATGTCCATATTCTGCACTTCATGTGATGGTTGCTCTTCTGGTCTGCAGAGGACTCTAGCCAACCTCAGCAAATCTCTTGGAGGCTGAATTTCTCACAAAGAAATGAGGATCCCATCTATACAGAGTATCATGTTTTCAGTGACAGAGAATTCTCTCAGGAAGTAAGATAACAACCCCAGGGGTTCTAGTGGTTGGAAAGAAATGTAAGAGCCAGTCAACGGAACCTTTGCAAAAGTCAGTTCTAAAACAAAGTTCCTCCACATTGGGTTTTTTTTTTTTTGGTACATGAAGGAGATTATTCAGATCCCCTTCACTGACCTACCCCCAAGATGTTGGGCAAAAGGAGTCACCTCAAGCTTTCATTTATATTTCACTAGTAAAGGTTCTTGTTGACTCAGTGCTAACAGCAGAGCCCTTGGGCGAGTAATCGACCACTGTCCTGATAGCATCAATCTCATTTTCTGTGGTTATTGCAATCTAAGAATATTCTCGTGTGTCACTGGGACATGGTGAGCAAGTGGCTGTCATCTTTCCAGCAAGAGAAAGACCTGTTCATCGCTAACCTCCTCCTGATAATTTCGTGTGTGTGTGTGTGTGTGTGTGTGTGTGTGTGTGTGTATGTATGTGTCCAGGACTTCCAGGCTCCTTCTCCATCTTAAAATCTCTGTCCAGATAATGGGTGATGAAGCCCTGTCAGAAAGACAGGAGAGATTTGACTTCCTGGAACTGGTTGGTAGAAAACCAGATCTCACCATCCCCACTTGCCCACTGTACAACAAGTGTTGCTTAAAATGTTTTTCTTGGAAACTTTGGCTAGGATGAGTTGAAGTTCATGTAATACTCCTCTACCTTTAGAGTCTCAGGCATTCCTGAGGCCACATATCCCATTTCACCTGCCTCCAGGAAGTTCTACACTGAAAACATTTTGCTCCAGGAAGGAAAATGAGATAGGAGAATAGGAACCCCATGGGAAATAACACAGATGAGTAACCCATGGGAACTAGTTCGCTTTAAGCTCCTTGGTCTGAGCTTCACTTGGAATCAGGTCCTTCGTCCTTCCTCTACTCTCAGTTTTCTGTTTAGAGAGGGCCCCTTGCTCTTGATTGGCTCTTCAGAAGATTCAAGTCAAGACTTCAGCCTGAACTGGAAAAATGCCATTATTCATTCAAAGAAGGAACCAACCCGTGAGCAGCAAGTCCCACATTAAGCCAAGTCTTTGCCTAGCCAGGTAAAAACATACTTCAGAAGCCCTAGAGCTCACTCTTCGACTCAAGTGGCTCAAAGTAGAGTTCTGTGGAAGCAGGAACTGTTTCCGTAAAGGTATCTGGCATGCTCTGAGTACTTACCAAGTGTTTAGTTTTCATAATATCATTTTAGAAATTCTGTGCATGTTTATGTCTGTTTTAAGAAATCAGACCTGTCTCTGCTACTGATAGCAGTGAACATGGTAGAAGGGGGAGATATGATCCCAGATTTTCTCATAATCTGTCAACAGTCTGTGGTTTAGGCTGGCAAGAGCTTGAGGATGAGTAAACAGCAGGGATTCAAAAAATTCTCACTCAGAGACTCTGGCAGATCAGTACAATAACAAACCAGAACTCTCAAGCTCTTACATTTTGTTACCACTTACCTTCTCCTTGTAGGCACTCAGGGGCTTTTGAAAACACAGGGACCTGTAAAGAATGGGATTGGAAGAATTATTATCCCATACCTTAGGCAAAGAAATAGGAGCCTATTTCACAGCCCATGTCCTTTGAATTGCTCAGGAGGTCACAGTCAAGAAAAGTGGTAAGACTCTGGCTCTGTGGACTCCCAGGGCAGCCCAACTTGGAGATCTAGGGCCAAGAAATGCAGTCATATTAGCTGTCATTTGGAAAGAATCCCAAATATACATAAGGACTGAGTTGTTGTTGTTCAGTCATCTGAGTTGTGTCTGAATCCTTTTGTGATCCCATTTGGGGTTTCCTTGGCAAAGATACTGGAGTGGTTTGCCATTTCCTTCTCCAGCTCATTTTACAGATGAGGAAACTAAGGCAAACAGGGTTAAGTGACTTGCCCAGGGTCACATGGTAAATATCTGAGGTTGGATTTGAACTCAGGAAGAAGAGTCTTCCTGACTCCAGGCCCAGCACTCTAACCACTGTACCAGCTAGGTTGATAAAACCGGAACGCTTGCCATCCAGTCATCCAGCCATCAAACACACTTTTATGAAACAACTACTTCAAGGAGAGTCCTGTGTTCAACACTGGAGATAACCAAAAAATGGAACTGGTCCTTGCCCTAAAAGAATTCACTATTTGAATTAAAGAGTCAAGGCTAACATAGGTGTTAAAATGTGTTATACATTAGAAGGGTTATCAGAGTTAAGAGACAAGGATGGGCGATCCATGTACGCTAGAATGTTTAAAAAAAGGTAATGGGAGCAAGTAAGATTTGACTAAGTCAAAGGAATAGAAGTGTGACTGATCACTGTGTGTGTGTGTAGTGGAGTCGGGGAAAAGGAACCACATGAGGCTAAAATATGAACCAATGCATAAAAATCATTCAGATAACACTTTTAGTTTATAGACCTCAAAGGTTGACCACACTCATGGAAGCCATGGACTTAACCACACGGAAACATACGGAATTAAGACAAACGTTCAATTTGGATGATTGGATCCAATCTGATCCAAGACAGTCCCTAACTTCTCTGCCCGGTTGGTCTCATTGTCCTATCTCCATGCCTTTGCACATTCTGTCTTTCATACCTTGAATTCACTACCTCCTCACTTCTTAGAATCTCTAGCTTCCTGTAAAATTCTACTCAGGCTCCATTTCCCATGTAAAACCTTTCCTTATTCCCTCATCCAGTTGCTCATGACTACCCAAAGACGTTAATTCGCATTTATAGGATCATAAATTTGGTACTGAAAGGGAACATAAAAGTCATTGAGTCCAATCCCCTTGTTTTACAAATGGAGAAACTGAGGCACAGTGCAATTTACTTGACTAGGTCACACAGCCAGGAAATATCTGAAGCAGGTTTTGCACCCAGGTCTTTATGCTTCCAAGTTCAATGCCCTATCCAGTACACCATGCTGCCCCTCATTGTATTTGTGTGTATGTGTGTGTGTGTATGTGTATACATATATATGTGTTTACATGTGGTTTTCCTGGATGTAACGCAAGTTCTTTGAAGGCTTAATTTCTCCCCAGTATGGAGTACAGAGTAAGTGCTTAATAAATGTTTGTTGAATGATTAATGCTCTGATACTATGGTTAATCTCAAGAATTCCGGGGCAGGGAATAGAAAGAATTCTAGATATAGAATTAGAGGGTTGGAGTTCAAATATCAACTCTTCTAATTATGTGAGCTTAGGGAAAACCCTTCACTTCTTTAAATCTCAGTTTCCTCATCTGTAAAATGAAAAAAAAGGTCTTTAAGGACCTTTCCAGCTCTAGATATTATCCTAATAGTTAATTCAAACTTTGGAAATCACCTTGAGCCAAGAAGGGCAGGTATAATCGCACAGCCTCTTAGGCCTGGGGCCACTTCTCCCTAGCACCTGGCAATCACTCTATCAGACTGGTTTGGTTGGGGGCTTCTGGTTATTGAAAGTAATCTCTCAATAAAATTCCCAAATGTAACACTGGTGTGTAAATGGGTGTTTGAGGATCTCATGGGTAACAGTGATGTGATAAGAAGCCGGAGATTCCATCCCTCAGGTAGTTTCCCCTGCCTCCTTCGGTTTGTTTGTGGTCAACATTAATCATTTCCTCTAACTGCATATAAGAGCTTCTCAGTCCCTGATCAGCCCAGTTCAGAGCTGAAGCTTGAAACCAAAAACTACAATGCAAAAGTTCTGTCACCTTCTGCTCTGCTCTGTTTTGATCCCTTATGCCAGTTTGGCACCCACCACTCCGAAATCAAGAGAACCCGACCTGGAGACTATCATTGCTCAAACTCTGAAATTATCACATAATATCGCTACAGACCCAGGAAAGGTAAGTGACTCACAGGTGACTTGGCTTCAACCTTTGCTCTCCAAAAGTTAATCTGCCCCTTTCTCCGTTCAAATGTGAGCTGATTATCTGCGTTTTTTTCTTCAGGATGGAGAGGTGAAGATTGTTTCAGAGGAATTCAACAGGAAGGTAAGATGTACTCCTCTATACCTATCTATACATCTGTTTTTCTAAAGGGAATTATTTAAAAGATCCTTGTACTGGCCCTCGGCTATCAGATCAATTACCATTTAAGATAAACTGTAGCAGACAGATAGTGTGTAGCTAGCATGTAGCTCCCATGACTCACTAGCATTAATATTTGTGGCTATTCGAAAGGCTTCAAACAGCATAAATTCCTTCTTCCCCCACCCCCTCCTTTGTCCCTGCCCCAAGAGGGATTATAAGAGCCAAAGTTAGTTAAGTGCCAAAGTTAAGTGCCAAAGCCAGAAACTATTTTATGTGTCAGTGATCCTCTGTCCCTACTACAGCTCGATTTCTCCGTCATAGTTTCTGAGACATCACAGCCATAGACAGCATCTTACAGGTCACTAGTAGGACAAAATACAGCAGGGAAAGGAAGAACCAGACAGTGGCTCCCACAGTCTCCTGAGAGAGTCTAATCTCTGAGCCCTTCCTTTAGTCTCATAGCATGGATTCCCTCTTAATATGGGGTCCCCTCTCCTAAAAAAAATAGAGGATTGGTTTTGGAACCAGAAATCCAATCAGCTGTATTTTTGGGCAAGTCTACTTGGTGCCTCGCTTTTTTTTTTAGCCATAAAATAGTTTCTTTTGCGAATAATAATAGCCCCCAATTACATAACACTTAAAAGTTCATAGAGCATTTGCCAGATAACTTTGAGAGATGGAAAGTGTAGGTATTATTATTCCTATTTTTAAATGAGGAGACTGAGTTCATAGAGGATAAGTGACTTGCTCAGGATCATACAGCTATGATACATCAGAGCTGTGGCTACAATAGGCATATTGTAAGACTCAAACAAGATCATGGCTGTGACAAAACTTTATATACTATCAAATGCCACATTAAGATATCATTCTTATGCTGAGGTTAGAACTTGGGGTCAGAACTCCTAACTTTCCATCCCAGAGTCTTTTTCCCCAGGTCCCAAAGATATCTATCAATAGTTAGCTGGCAGTCAGTATTCACAGAAGAACATTGAGTTATAAAAGGCAGTAAGATATAGCAGCTAAAACATTGGATTAGAGTCAGAAAGACCTAGATTTGAATCCTTCCTCAAATAATTACTAGCTATGTGACCTTGGGTAAGTCACTTAATAGCTCTTAGTACCAGTTTCCTCATCTATAAAATGAGAAAGATGGATTCAATGACCTCTAAGGTCTTGTTTTACCCTGAATCTATGATTGCATTGGTTCCTCTAACAATGAGTAGCCAGTCAGATTACACCAAGTCTCGGTGGTTATTCTATTCTTTTTCCATGCTTGGGCTATGCTGTGACATTGTATCATTGAGCAGGAGCTCAGGGCAGTCCCATGGGTGCACATACCTGACTAGACCTCTGAGAGTGGGAGAAAAAGGTATGGGTGTGAGTTCAAATCTGGCCTCAGACACTTGACACTTACTAGCTGTGTGACCCAGGGCGAGTCACTTAACCCAGATTGCCTCACTAAGAAAAGAAAAAAAAGAAAAAAAAGAAAAAGGTATGGGTGGCCCTATGGCTGGATAGATGTGAGGAGTGCACTGTGATGCCCAAAACATGGGAGCAACTGGGTAAGGAACTCTGCTGGGCCTCATGCACAACATATATTTACCATCTCCTTCCCAGAATCTCCCAGAAAGATCTGGGATGTGGACAGACTGCTGAGAGCAGAGGAGCTTTCTAAATGCTTTGGAGAATTCAGTACCACTGTTGAAAACAAGTTAATGTGTAAAACGTGTCAGAGAGGAACAGGCCACTGTAAAGTGTGCTGTGGTGGTCTGAAGCTTTGCCAATTTATATGTCTCACTTAGTAATATAAAGAACCCATTATGTGAAGTAAAAAGATAGAGGTTTAAATCAGGATCTGCTACTTCAAACTCATGTGACCTTGGGCAAGTCACTTGGTTTCCATTTCCTCATCTGTAAAATGGAAGGGTGCGATTAGCTGATGTCTAAGGTCTCCTCCCACACTAAGTTCTATGATCTTAGAAACTGTTGTTATAGGAATCCCTCTTGCTATCATTGGAAAGGACTCAGCCCCAACCTCTGCGTATCTGTTTTAGTGACAAATTTAACTATTTTAGCTTAGACTTGGGCTATGATCCCATTGACTCAGACACACTCACTAAGCAAACTAACTTTTCTTTCAGGAGCCTAAATGCATACAGACACATATAAAGACTTTTTCTGATGGTTTACATGAAAGGGACCAAGCAATCAAGAAAAACCTGGAGAGGATTGCTGCACGCTTCAATGCTTCTTCATGTCCCTCACTCGATGTAAGTTTTCTCTATTACAGAACTTGCCGATTTTAATGATGTGATGTGGAGATGGTCAATCTGCTTTTTGCTGATGTCAAATCTTGGTATAGACCAGGAAAGATCACATTCGAGCTTAGGCTAAAGGAACAAGGAAATATGTGTCTATGTAGAAACACACATTTTAAGTATATACATGCATTGTATAAATAATTTATACCATATATACATTTCTATAGTTATATGTATATTTCAAATATAAACACCCATATGTATGTGTATGTTTTAAAAACAAATTATTTCCATGGTGTATGTATATATTAAAATACGTAGCATAGCAGAGTATATCAAGTGCTGGACTTTAAATCAGGAAGATCTGGATTCAGATGTTACCTCTGACTCTAGCTGTGTGACATAGACAAGTCACTTCACTTTTCTTACTCAATCTCAAACTCCTCCCAGTCTCTTCATGTAAAACTGGGAGCTCCATGGATCCCAACCTCCTAGGGCTGATGTGAGATTCAATTGTGATAATGTCAAGGTATCAAACACATGATTTCTTGAAAGAGCTCCAAATATGTGTTAGTGCTGCATGAATTTGTTCATTTTACATATATACAGTATATATAATATACCTAACTTATATATACATATGTATACAAGTATATGTTAATATGCATTTATGTATAAATAATTGCATTTGTATATTCTCATTTATTTTAGAAATGTTTCAATGATTTTTATATAACAAAGGTATATAAACGAACCTATTTCTGATACTTAGAAGATAAAACTGAGTGTTTTTCAATAGATATAAAATTCAACATTGGATGATTTACCAAGGTCATAGACCACGGTAGACATAGTAGGACTGAGAGCTGGACAGGATTACCTAATTACCCCCCCCCATTTCTTAGATGAGGAAACCGAGATCCAGAGAGGTGAGGTGACCAAAGCCACAGAGCAAGCCAGATGTCAGATCAGGGAGTGGAACCCATATCTCTTCAGTCCCAGTCCAGGGCCTATTCCACTGAAGCTATATGATAAATTACTTGGGGTGTCCTGAATTTCTAGATCCTGCACTTATTAACTCTTATGAGGACGGAAGTTGTCAAAGTTCTGATTGACCTTTAAAAACATATAGCAAACTCTGTTATTCACCTTAATGGTTTCAGGGCCATAAGGCAGATAGGTATCCAAATGGCAGATTACCTATATCTATTTGGCTTTTAATTTGGACTTTTGACAGTGGGTGTGTCTGGTGTTTTTGGAATTCACAATGCTGCACACCAAAAAAATGAAGTCACACCTGAGATAGAACTGGGAAGTTGTCCAATTTACCTGCTCAGAACCTGTCCCTTCTTCAGGCTTGAGAGATATGCATCATCTCCCTCAAGCTAATGCAAAATACCAGCCTAAACAGAGGCTGCCCTGAATGAAATAGTTAAGTGTTTTGTTCTAAAACATCTCTAGCTTTACTGTATGTACACAGAGGAATAAAGAAAAGATAGTAAACTGGATTACCCTAGAACTCTATCAACTATTATGTTAAGTATCAAGGCTTTGCCACCATATCCGAGAATTGACTGTGTCTTGGGGGCTGACTTTTCTGGGGACACACACACACACACGCACACACACACACACAAAACTCAAGAACTCTTCAGTTTGTACACAGATCCAGAGCTTCCCATCATATTGATAGCAGCTCCCTATTCCTAGGTCCCTTTAGTTCCTTCCCCACAGCAGTTCCTGATGCTCTCTGCCCCAGAAACATGTTGGAAATCATAAGGTAGCCAGGGGGAAATTCTTCTCTCCATTTCTATTCAATGTAATTCAAACATTCCCTGTCCTCACAAATTCACTGGGGAATGAAGCACAAATATGGTTAATTGTGATTGCCCCTCTTATATGATAAGAGCTTTTGAGGTAACAAAGGAGACCTAAGGAATGGCTTAGCACAAGCTAAGAGGCAGAAACTTCCATCAGCACGATCCTAAAAATGGCATTGGCCCAACAAGGCTAGAGTAGTGAACAAAGCCCTAGACTTGAAGTTAGAAGACATAGATAGGTTCTAGCCTCAATTTTACCACTCCCTAGTCATATGTCCTTGGGCAAGTCACTTTGACTCTTTCCCAGTCTCAGTTTCTTTCTCTGTAAAAGAGGAATCATAGACTTAATATCTCCCTCCTAGAACTGTGAAGGAAAAAGACTGTTGTTGAACAATAGTCTGAATTTAAAATTAGTTTGAATTTGAATTAATATAAAATTAGTTCAAATTAGACTTAATAACTGATTGCTTGACCCAGGAGAGCCCAAGGTCATAGACACTTCTCAGAAATATTTCTCCCATCCCCTACCCTAACCCCTTACAAGGCAAGAGACAAAATCAAAGATGAGCATCATTTTTATTTAATAACATCAAAAGCTAATTAGAACTATTATTTTTTTAAAGGAAACTTCCTGCAACTTCCAAATAACTGATCATGAAGAATTCAAAGCTCAATTAATTCAGTTTTTAGGAGAGATCCCCTCTGACTGCCAGAACCTGAAACTTCCATCATCTGCTAAGAGCTGACTTGCACCAAAGTCTTCACTGTCCAGAGCCTGTCTCCTTTGCCCCTCAGGGAAGCAGAGCCCAGACCACGACTGAGTTTTCTATCTCACAAGAGACTGGGCTGTTAGCTTTAACTCCACAGGATCTCCCAGCTGCAAAGGGCTCCCAGGGTCCTAAATGGGGTCAGGTTCTGTTACGTTTACATGGACCTCTACATAAACTTTGGGACACATGTTTTCCTATGTTGGGAAGAATGGGGGGTAGGGGGTGGGAGGGTCTATTTTATACCAGAAAGAGTAATATATATCTATATATATAATATGTATTTATTTATTTATTTATTAAGCCTTAATATTGTATTTATTCAAGATGTTCTATCCTAATAATATAGATGATAAACATTATATTTTTGTTCATGGTCTTTTCTTTATGAGTTTGGGAAAAAAATGTATATTTTGCTTGCAAAATACCTTATTGTCAGTTAATGTATATTTATGGGGTGGTAAATAAATAAATCATACTCCATAAAAATCCTATTCTAATACCTCATCATGGCCTAGAGATAATCCTGAGATCTCAGTCAACCAATCAATAAGAGCTTATTAAGTACCTACTGTATGATAGGTTCTAGAGCTACCAATACAAAGAATGAAACACTCCTTACTTTCAAGAAGTTCATATTCCAATGGGGAGACAAGTACGCTTAAGCTCTGGCAGTTTCCACTATGGTGGAAAGGTTTTTAGTATAGCCCTAACGCCAGACTGCTTTCTTTCTGAACTCTAGAATAGTTAAGTACAGAGTGGCTTATCATCAGTAGCCTGATGTGCTTTACTATTATCCACTTATTGTCAAAATAAATGAAGGAAAGCACTCAGGACTTTAGATAGACCACCCCCTTTAGCAAATTTATGGGAGGACATGGACTACAGTCACTGGGATGGACAAGTATGAATGGGTCAATTGATGTAATGTGTATCACTGGAGAGATATGTACATGAATGAAACTCCAGCAGTTAGATGCCACAGTGGATAGGGATTGACTTGGAGTCAGGAAGACCTAAGTTTGAATCTAACCTCAGACAACTGCTAGCTGTGTGATCCTCAGCGGATATCACAATCTCTATTTGTCTTAGGTGCTTCATCTGTAAAATGGAGATAATAATGGCATTTGCCATATAGAGTTATCGTAAGAATAAAATGAGATGTTTACTAGGTGCTTTGCAAACCTTAAAGCACTATATAAATGCCAGCTATATTACTGTGACTGAGATAATATATCTATTAGAGTATTGTAACAGATGAAGATTGAATCCTTGCTCTAGGGAAGCTCACAGCCGAATAGGAGAAAAGTCTGTCCTCACTTTTCCCTTCTACTTGTCAGATGCAGGGGATTTCCTGCGACATCTCTCCAAAATATCTTTATTTGCTCAAAAAAGGGCTTCAGGATCTCTTGTTGGAGAATCTTCCTCTCAAAGCCCATCAGTGAAAATCCTGGAAGACAAAGGAAAAACTGTCCCTCTCTTCCATTCCACTGCTTAGTCTGGCCTATGTCCAAGAACAAGTGTGCGTGACCCACAGAATTTAATATAGACCAACCCTTCCTCAATTCCTCTCTCCAGAAGTGAGGTAAGGAAGGAAATATGCTGTCCAGGATTCCCCTGAACAGCCAGGCCTACTGTACATTTTTGTGCAATGACATAAGGCAGGGTCATCTCCCAGAGGCACAGATGAAGCAGTAGTCAGTTGTGAATTTTTTTTCTCTCCCATCACCAAGGGAAGCTGAGGGAATCCCCTTCCATGAAGGAGGTTATTTTAAATAAACAATCTGGCTCTATGGGAAGAACACTGTGCTAGGAACCACAAGACTTGGGCGCCAGCCCCTACTCTGATCCTAACGGGCTGGAGACCTTCAGGAAAATCACTTGCTGCCATTTTACAGGTGTGGATTGTACAGCCCTAAAGGGTTAACAGAACCTGGGTATCTACTTCATAAAGTTATTATGAGGATAAAATAAAAATAACATCAACTTTTGGGACATAAGATTTTATTATTTCTAATGAACTTTCAGGTTCATTCTCTTATTTGTTCATTACAACAGTATTGGGAAAGAGGCAAGATTGGAAGGGCTATTTATTTCATTTATCAGGTCTTTGGGGAACAATCTGATCCAGGAAACCCCTAACATCTCTCTGGCCCCACATTAGCTTTCTTTACCTAACAATAAAAACTCCTGCTGGGTCCAAGGGACTGGGACACTGTACCCCCTCTCTGTCTCCTAAGGATCCACTCTGCTCTGAATTCACGCACACTATCCAGACTGGGTTCAATCCTTGAGGGGTCCTGGCCTCTACCTAGAGGAGTCTGGCTCCCATTCCTCACACTCTTCAGCTTGGTATGCCTCTACCCTGACACCCCGGAGAAAATTTACTCCAAGTTAGTTTTTGGTTCATATTTAA